AGAAGTAACCTTAGAAATTGCATGATACAGCCTAAAGAACAACACATCGAAATTATTAGGTAATTTGGAGAGAGAGGAGGCGAGGAAAACAAGCAAAAGATATTAAAGTTAAATAAATTTCTGTCAATCTACATTGGCTTTATATGGATTTCAAAATGAAAAACATCTTAAAATATTGTAAATGCATTTCCACCTTAGGTCCATGTGCTTGCATCTCCAAAAATAGCACAGATCTAATGATTTTGGGAAGAATAAACAATGAGTGAAAACAATTTAGAACATATATATTTTTTTCAGAGGGTGTGATTTCTAGAAGGTCGCAACTTTAAACAATCCAATTAAGACACACCTCTAAATTTTATTATAACAATGTAATTTTGGTATAAAAAATCATTAGGATTATTTGAAAATCTATTTTCATATTTAATTCTAAAATTTTAAACTCCATAAATAGTTAAAATCAAATAGATATATAAACATATAAAAATCTAAAAAATGGACAGTCTAAATAATGTGTTGCAAGATGCACCATTTCAGGGACTCAAAATCTGTTTTTTTTTTTTTCCCATATTCATACATCTTGATGTCAAGATGATTAATTAGAAGGTCTTTCAACATTTAAACAACATTTTTCGATGGATTTTTTGGTTCATCTTTAATTCTATATTTTAAGGTTGCAACCTTATGTAAATTTTTTATTTCTTTAAATTCGTTTTTTTTTTTTTTCCATATTCATGAGTTGAGATTATCATTTTATAACATTTTTTTTATCTAAAACCCATCTCTAATATAGATCCTGAAAGTTTGGACATATGTGGCCATATGTGTCGCTTGACGCACCAACACCCCACCGAGACTTAAATGGGATTATATACCATGAGACCATTTACTTTTAGTACAAGAATGCCACAATCATTTTTAGCCATTAGATGTGAAATCCAATAGATTAAATGTAATATTTGAAAAATTTTATTTTGAATTTTGTGCCCAATCAATGATACATCCTCAACCACCTGATTTTACATCTAATGGTCAATAGTGATTGTGACCTCCTTGTATGAAAAGTAAATTATCTCATTGTGTATATTCCAACTTAAATCAATAAAAAGTACAAGGGTAAACAACAGATATAATGGATATTTTTACAAAACGACACTAGATTAAACAACATTGAACCTAAGCGGCAAACTCGTGATTGGCATTAGACTAAACCAATCACCAAGTCGAGTTTACAACACCACATATTCTTTAAGGGGCCGTTTGGATACCTGGAAATATATTGTCTGTGAAATATATTACGGGCGTAATACATTACTGCATAATACGTTACCTGTAAATAGATTGTCACTGTTTGGGTAGTATTTAGATGGAACTTGGGAAATACATTGCTACTATTTGGCTATGTCTGGAAGAAATATGAGAAATGCATTATCATCCAAACATGAAAAATATGATTATATTTGGCTAACATGATTAGACTTTAGTTTCAACATGATAAGTCATTGGAATAATATGATTGGAATAATATGATTTTATTGTGATAAGCTTTATTTTTATAGAAGTCTTTCAAATGTCTCTCTATACATAATTTTAAATAAGCAATAAATACCAAAATCAAAATCTTTATGGTACAAATTACAAAATGAGAAGAAGTTTGATTAGTAAACTAGAATGTTTGGTAATTGTAGTATAAAATTTTGAAGCATTGGAGGAGACTATGTATCTTATTTCAATTGATCTTTTATTAATATCTTATGAGGATTATGTCGTGTGAAATTTTTTATTATGATTGTGTTATGTAATTTTTCATCGATTATCAATTATTATTTTTATTTTTATGGCAGGCTACAACCCAAATTGGGGATAAAGGGATATAGAAATTTTTTTACTATGTTTCCAGTAGAAAATTGTCCCTCATCAAGTTCTACAACGGTTCATATCAATTTAGATGAGGGCTACAACACAAATGGGAGATAAAGAGAGGTAGAAATTTTTTAATATGACGACAGTAGAAAATTGTCCTTGTACAACTATTCAAATCAATTTGGATTCCTCTTTTCATACAAGGTACTTTCACTTTCTATTTACTTCAATAATTATACAATACATCCAATTTCTATACAATATAGCCTATTTGAAAAAGAGATATTTTTTTAAGCGGGGTTAGGGCGGAGAGAAGCATGCTAAATATTTCTCACGATTACCCGTCAACTTCGTAATAGATTTTTTACGCGAAGCATGCTAAATATTTTTCAAGATTACCCGTCAACCTCGTAATAGATTTTTTACCCTTCACTGCGGGTATTATATTTGATGATTTTGGAAAAATATAGATAATCTCGAGTAATCTATTTCCATTTCTTTACTATTAAAGTGTACCAAATGATGTAAATGTTATATTTCTTTCTAATATATTGTCTCTTAATAGATTCCATGTACCCAAACACCCTAAATGAGTTTGTTGCCTATCCCGTTTATGCCTAAAGAGAAATGGTTTTTTTCGTGCAAGGATGGACTTATGCCTCTGTTCATGACTTCACCATGGTGTATGGTGTCGACATGAAAGCATGCCCAAAGAGAAATGGTTTTTTCTTCGTGCAAGGATCGACTTATGCCTTCTCACCATGGTGTATGGTGTAGACATGAAAGCACGAAGGTCTGGAGTAAGAATCTTTGATTCAGGAATTAGCTGGGACCAAAGTAGTACTGGGGAAGGAATTAGGAGTGGTAACGGGTCGGGTATGAGTCAGACTCGGACCTAGACCTGAATAGTATTCAGATCCAAAATTTGGATCTATATGCAGATCTGTCAGTTTCCGGGTTTGGTCGGATCCATTGTCACCCTATGACTATGGGCTTTTTTGTATTTTCCTCCCCCTTTTTTTCACCATCATATACCCTATATATGAGCCCAATAATACTATAAATGTTCCAATATTGTGGTAATATGAACACCTAGTGCGCCTCTAAAGACATATGATTGCTATCATATACCTTATAACTGTGGGTATAGGTCGGGTCCGGCTGAACCCAAACCTAGAATCCCGAGTAGTATTCAGGTCCAAAATTTGGACCCATAACCAGACCCGAGGTCAGCTATACCTGTCGGGTCCTGGTCTAGTCGGGTCCACTACAACCCCTAAAAGGAATTGTTACTAGCTTGCCCCCTAACCCCCGCTTTCATAATTTTTATTGATATATTTAATGTTTTATTATGCCACTTTAACCTCCCACAACGTAAACGCCCTTTCATAGGTTTTTTTCATATTCTTCAGGATCGTAGATTAAGACCGGTCCAGATCAACATCTCATGATCCAACACTAATCCATGGGGTGGACGATCCGCCTCACAGTTCCGTTTCTTCGGTGTCGAGTACGTAATCATGGGCTTTGACGACCAATGGCCATTGAATCGATGAGTCATGCACTGGTCATAAAAGTTGAATAAGCCCATCAAAAGGCACCCAGACAGGAGGAAAGAGACGCACAAAACTCCAGGTCCCACTTCTATTACCTTTGAAGGAATTCAAACAATCAAATTGCTAAAAATATGGAATTTGGGCTTTATCAAATGAGCCTATTTGGTGTACCAAACAGAAGCATGCTGTACATTTACTCCCTGGGGTTAAACACCTCTCTTAAGAGGACTTTTTGGATATGAAATTCTGTGATCCACTTTAATATTAACAGGTTGAGGAGCTTGTTACCTCTCCCCAGTATTTGGGATCTTAAAAGTACTCTTTGTAGGTTTTTTTAAGAGTAAACCTAAAATACGCTCCTACAGGGCCATACAACCTTTCGGCTTATCAGATCTTCTGGCTATTAAAATGATCTTAAATGGGACTCTTGTAAATAAGTGTACAATAAACTATCCAGGAAATTTAACTGGCATTTTTCATTGAGAATGTCTACAAAGAGACCATTTATCTTTGGGAAAAGTTTATATAGAGCCTAAGCTCCAAACAATCACATTCCAGCCTACCTCAAAAATTTCACTTTATGAGATTGTTTTGATGCCCAAAAATCTTCAAATTGATCATCTTGACATCAAGATGAATGGACATGAGAAAAAAAATGATTTCAAGTTTTAGAAATGATGTATTTTGTAATGCATTTTTTGACCGTCAAATTTCAAGATTTTCAAGTTTTCATATACATGTCAATCTACACCATTTTTGAAGATTTAAATTTTATAAATAAAAATAAAAATATATTTTAAGCTATCACAAAGATTTCTAGTGTTGAAACCACATTTCTCGATACTTTTTAAAGGTAGGCTCTAATTTGATTGTTTAGAGCCTATGCTCTATACAAACCACACCCTTTATCTTTTGTATGTCACAATCGTTATTGTCCCTCAAATTTCACAATGGTTGGTAGTAAAAGTGTCATTGAATAGACACGGTTAAAAAAAATTTTCTAGACTTCATTACTCACCCCAAGCCACCCAATTTTCCATACTCATGGAGATCTAAGTAGATTGTTAATGCCATATAGGATGGAGTGTCTCTAAAATTAAAGTAGAATATCTAAAACACCTGAGAATTTCAAGAAGCCCAAAATTTGGGGACGTAACCTCATCGATGTAGGGATCAACTTAAATTTTGGGGACAACCTCCTTGACATAGGTATCAACTTAAAAAGCAAACAATTGCATATGCATTCTATATGTTCTTGACTAAAATTAAATCAGAAGGGTCCATTATTTGGATAGTCATATATAGGTAGGTGCTTACGAACTCAAAATCCAAACTTAAAGTTTTGAAAACACTCTCTGTTTATCTAAAGTGGATCCCAAAATTCTGTATAGACAGACATTTGGTCATTATTTCCATTCATATAAAAAGTATGTAACCTACATTAAAAGTATTTGAGTCAAAATACGAGACAGAATTTTGGTCAAATTTCTATTATTTGGAAATTCAGATAAATTCTGGCTGCATTTCAGCCACAAGATTTGGGGAAGTGGCCCCTGAGCTCTTCTTCTCCTTACAAAAGACTCAAATTAAAGAAAGAACTGCATATATCAACCAATATCTCAAAAAAGAACAGGTATTTCATGTATTAGGAGAATTTACAAAAGGTTGATGATACATCTAAGCTTGAGGCACTTCTAGATGATTCAGTGACACTTTTATTACAAACCAATCTTATCGAAAAAGCCTCGGTCGGGAGCGTCTTGGTACCTTGCCTTCGAGCTTCAGTCTCCTATATGCTTCCCGAATATGGCATGGCCTAATAGCCCCACTCTCATTTCTCTCTGTCATTACTACTCGACCTGTAAAAACGAGCACACACAAACTTGAGAGAGAGAGAGAGAGAGAGAGAGAGGCACAGGATTCTGAGTGTAAACACAAGAAACGTGAAGAGAGAATATAAACCCAAGAACTCAAATACTGGAGTATTCTGGAATTTAGGACATAGTACCTGTTTCTACAAGCTCTCCAACAAACATTTTGGCGATCCCAGACATCACAATTGTCATAGGCATTGATATGGGACATCCAGCAATATTCTGCAACAGCTGCGTTACGAGGTAAACTCTGAGAATTAGAAACTACCGACCAATATAAGAGAACAAAAGAATTAGAAAGTACATAATTATGAAAATTTTACCTAAACGAAAAATAAAAATAAAAAACAATATCACAACATTCTCATCAAAGCCAATGTTTCAGATGGTTGACTACAACTAAATTTCCAGGATAAAACCTCACATGCATGGTTTACAAATTAGACTCGAGTGTTAAACACAAAAGTTCTGATATTCAAAAGAAAAAGCATAAAAGTTCTGGCCAAAAGGCAAATGCATCTGAACAGGATGGTTTATCCATCCAAAAGCATGTGTGCCTGAGATTTTAAATCACATCCATTCTCTGCCAAGGTATCCATCAAAAGCAAATGCATATTATGAAGGCTTTTCTTCTCTTGGTTATAAATGCATGTTAACAAGGTGCTTTATTAGTATTATTTTTCTTTATTTTTCAGAAGGGGGGGGGGGGCGGGGGGTTGGTAAATAACAAGGTCAAGATGCTATGTTGAAATTAGAGCCTTCATCAATACCCCTTGTTTCTATGGAAAGCCATGAGCAATAGATATTACTAGGTTGAGTCTTGCTCATTCTTTTGCTAAGTTCTAGAAACAAGATGCATTGAACCTCAAGAATTTATTGATAAATATGCATCAATGAAAGAAAAACTTGTCGATAGATACATGATAATGGAATGCATGCATTACCCTCCTCATGGTAGCTTTTTGAAACCCAGATCTCCGAAATGACTCGTACCTACTCATTTGTTCCTCTGTTAATTGGGATAAAATTGCCCTGATACAATACAGCAAAGAAACAAATAACTATTATAGAGAAAAACCACAAAGGGCAGTCACCAGCAATGTAAAATGCTTTCGCTGAATAAAAGAACGGAAAGTATATAATGAGACCATTTACCGTTGGTACAAGGTGGTCACAATTAATCTTGACCATTAGATGTGAAATTGGGTGGCTGCATTTATTTCATTGACCAAGCTCAAAGTTCAAAAGAAAATTTCTCGAACTTTGTGACACACCCAAGCTATCAGATTTCAATTGGGATGGTTGTAAGTAATTGCGACCTCCCAATACCAAAGGTAAATGGTCTCATTGTATACAATCCCATAAAAGAAATATGGTTACTTGAAAGAGATGGATTTTATAATATTCACGTAACAGTTCTTAACTCCAAACATCATGATACGCAAGATAATCCTTCTATTTCAGTACTCGTGACAATGAAAATTTAGCCTAATAACAAATCCATAAAAGTTATGACTCAATACAAAATCTTGGGGTAGAATACTACAGCACATTACTTGCTCTTGAATAGTCTAGGGGAACACGGGGAGCAGGTGCAAGAAAGCTGAGAATACAGGAGTTCTGCAAGTGCTTTATTATAAATTAGCTCAGCATATAAGAATGTTGCAATATGAGGGCATGGCGTTTCAAGGAACCTGATCCTCCCTTAGAGACCCCAGCTCTGGCAACGATTTTATGTCTTCACAGATTAATTCTTCTTTTTTTTTTGTGGAGGGGGGGGGGGGGAATACAGATTAATTATTATTTCAAAACAACAAGTACCCCCACCCATGGTAAAACTTCCCAGACTGTCACAGCAAGGTGAAGCAGGAGTACGGGATTAAAGTAGGTCAATTAAGTAAGGGATCAAAGTAGGTCAATTAAGGGTCTGACATTTGGAGAGTGGGGTAGGAATTCAAGAGAAGATAAGGTTTAGGTTTGGAAAAGTTGTACAGTACAGTTCTCAATGACTGTTTGCTGCAAGCGCAAGTAGGAGGTTCAGTTAACATGCCTGATGGTCTGGTATCTAACCCAGATGTTTCATTTGGGCAGCTCTTTCAGTGTGGAGGATGTGGATGTAAGTTGGTTCGATTACTAGATACAGTGCAGCTTTGAGGTCAATATATATCTTGAAAGAGCAGCAGGCAGGTTCTATGTAAGTTATTTTTTGGTTTTTTTACGAAAAAGGAATAAGGTCCTCCATATAGTTTTTTACAAAAATAGTGAGGAATGTGGGGGTGAAAAGTGATCCTCAACGGGGATTATCTCCCTCCCCACCCCCCCAAAAAAAACAAAAACCAAAAGAAAAAGGAATAAATAAATAAATAAAAAGCTCCTAGCCTCATTTTTAACTCTCCTATTGATTTGATCTCCCCATCTAGTAGAGAGAGATATCTTCTTATCCACTTTTATATGTTATGTAAATCAAGTGTCATCTCAATACTCCATGCTTATATTTGCCATCACCTAAGCACACTTTCTTGAGATTGTTTAATCAACAACACCAGTTTCCTATTCAATTGCAATCAACATGAGTAAGTGTGGTATTTTACGTTCTAGATTTGAATGATTCATTTCTTCCATGCATAACCATACCGATTATGAAGCTTCTTCCCAAGCCAGTGGGCAATAGTCAATCAAGGAAGAGCTTGATTTCTTCGTTAGAAATCTAGATAGGGCTTAGTTGCTTTCCTCACCACATGGTAAGAAGGCAGTTGGCTGCCAGTGGTATACGATATGAGGACCAAAGACAATGGCACAATAAGTTGGCAAAAAGCTAAATAAGAGGCTAAAGATATGAAAGTGGTGTTAAGTGTGATACTTTACAGCTTTGCCCATCAAGCAAAATGACAATTGCTTGAAACCAGCACTTTTTTTGTATGTTATCAGCCATTTTTCAGCTCAATGCAAGTATGCTCGGAAATATACATGCAACTTACCCAAATAATTTGATCCTTCCATCCTACTATATGTAGCATCCCACAATCCAGAAAAGCACACTTTTTCTTTGCTTTGCGAAACCAGTACCATTAGATGGTTCTAGAGGACAGCAGGGCAGTTCATTTGCCTTCACCATGCAAGAAAGGTTTCAAAAGTCAGCCAATAGAAAAAAAAATGGTTTCCAAAATCATTCCATGGCCTGGTTCTCCATTAATCAAAGGTATACCTTCTCCATGGCATTTGCAACTGCATATTAGGATAATTACATACTTTCTTCATTCTACAATTATATCATAAATACGGTGTCAGTTTATGTGCAGAAGCCCAACTTCAAGCCGACATTGCTATCCCTCCCAACTGTCACCAGCTTCATCAAAGCCTTTTGGGAAAAAAATTCCAATACTTGTAGTTGATCCCTCTCAACTGTGTATGCAAAAAATCGCAATACTTGTACCAACTGAAATAAAACTAATTTACAAAGACTCAACTGCTTACAATTAAAGTGCCAATTTACAGGATTCTATCCTAAAGAAAAACAGAACATCCATGTACTGGAAATAGGAGAGCAATGTGATATTAAAATAATCAAACAGTAACACATTCTTAGCTGTTGCAAGATCTGAACAATCTACTGATAGAACCAGCAAATCCCTATCATCACCCTTACCATATTACATAAATCTAAAACTTGATATTTATTAATTCAAATAAAATTTGAGAAAAGATTTACCACCCCCTACAATTTGAAGTAAATTCAAATAAATGCCCCAAAAATGAAAAAATAATCTGCTCAGAACTCTACCAAAATGACAAATGAAATTTCAGAAACTGTAAATTATAAACACATACAAAATCATAAATCCCAATGCATGAATTCATTTACATTCTAAAACAGAATACCAAGTACCATAATTAACAGGTACGTAAATTTAAAAATAACTCATAAAAAGGATTATCTGCTTAGGAATATCAAGAACAAATGTGTACAATTCCATAAAGAAAATCACAATCTTTTTTATGAGAGAGAAGCAACTTCAACAAAACACTCCAAAAACCAAACGGGGAAACCTACGTCATGGAAAATATCAAAATAATCATAGACCATCACCAAACCCTGAAACCCCAGAAATATATGACAAAGCCAATGGGATAAGTATTAGGAAAAGAGGGTAGTAATATTTGAGATTAGTAAATTCTAACAAAGTGAGTCTCGTATTTTCTTGGCAGTTCAGTTTTTTCTTTAATATGTGTTCGAGTGGACACACTAATTAGAATTTAATTAGAGCTCCTGACATCCTATAATCTTTTTGGATCTCTTCTTTTTATTGTATATACATAAGTTTCAAAATAAATTAACACACAAGAGTAATTGGTTTTCAGACTTGTGAAGCGTTTTCCAGGAGGATTGCCTTGCAAGCTCTAAGAAAGAGCATAAACTCTTAATATATTTTTTTTTTTTTCCTGTTTATTTGTTTTTCTGTCATTGCGTCAAGTGGCATTAAAAATTCACAAGATCAATCCCTCATGAAGCCGCCAAAGCCCGATCCACAGAACGAGAATATGCTACAACAAATTATGGAGATTGTGAATCCTCAAGTCAAAGAGAACATCAATCAAGCCATAGAGAATTTGAGACAAGAACTTCGAGTCTAGACCAGCAAACTTCGAGGAGAAATCAGGGAAATAGATCAGTTTCCCTGATCAGAGGTTGCACCGATAAGCAAATGCTGATCACTAAGAAGAGGGTACCATAATCGAGAATAGCCGGCACCAAATCTCAATCTAGATGCTAATCGATATCCACCACTAACTCAAGTGGCTGCCTCCATATGCAATAAGCTGAGTATATGGCAATAACCATGACCTTTGGAACCTCCAGGAGATCAAAGCATCAAAGTCAATTTCTCCAAGCTTCATGGAAAACTCCAAGTGGAATGTCCTATTGACGGGTTGACTTAGGTAGAATTTTTTTTAAATTGCATGTTTGGGATGAGATTAATATTAAACTTGTTGCACTGAAACATTATGGTGCGTTGACTTGCTAGGAACGACTTCGCAATGGAAAGTTTCTAATTCAAATCACATTAAGAAAAAGTTCAAAGAAAATTTCCTTCCCATGGATCATCATCACCATCATCCAAGTCTTATCACAATTATCTAGGATTGGCTACATGAATCATGGTCCTCCATTCTTCTCTAACAAGGGCCATAGCCTCAACAAGACCAAAACTCATCATATCTTTTCTCACTATTTCTATCCATGTGGCCTTCCCCTTGCCCTTTCAGAGCCTTCCTCTTGAACCAAATTGCACCTCCTAACTAATGTTGTATGAGGTGTACACTACACATGGCTACCCACCTAAGTCTACTTTCCTTAATCTTATCCCCTATTGAAGCCACCCCTAAGTTCTCTCGTATGTATTCATTCCGAATTCTATCCTTTATTGTCATGCCACTCATCCATCTCAACATCATCATCTCAACTACACTTATCCTATGGATATGTAGTTTCTTAACAGCCCAATATTCCATCCCATAAAGCATGGCTTGTCTTACAACCGTCCTATAGAACTTTCCCTTCAATCTCAATGGTATGTGGCGATCACATAAATCTCCGGATGCACATCTCCACTTTGCCCACCCAGCTACATTCATCTTCCTCAATCTCTCCATCCCATTGATCACAAGTAAATATTCTTCTAAGACCCCCCAAAATCCCTAACAGAATGAGAAGAGTGTAAAGGACTATCCTAGGGAGTTGTAAAAGCTTGTGGTACACAATAACCTACAAGAGACTAAGAGTCCAAAGGTTTGTCCATTATGCTAATGGGCTATGGAAATCTGTTATGGATAAGGTTTTTCTAGACCAAACATGGACCTTGAGTGAGACTCAAAATTGCCATTCGAGTGGAAACAAATTAAAGTGATTCCTTACACGCTTTTAACAACCCAAATTTTAACAAAGAAATAAAGAGCATGATCAAATGGGAGCCTCAAAGAATACTTGTTTACTGAAACTGGGAATCGTGTTTGGGGTTACAACCTTATGCAAACCACACCCTTCTATATTACATCGAGGGTGTGGTTTATATAAGGCACTCACCTCAAACTATCAAAGTAAAGTGCACTTTCAAACCATGTCAGATGATGCAATTTCGGAATTGGAAATTCTTACGATTGCATGGAAGTCTGTTTTCACCTCTAATTACAAAAGGAAAAGTTTTCATGAGTCAGCGGGCTCGGTGCAAGAGCCTGCTGACTCACCAACATCTATCTTTAAAGATGGATGTTGGAAAAAACCCTCCGGTGTAAAACAAATATAGACGGTGTAGAAATATCTCTAAAAGAATCACATTTTAAATGTTGAAATTTTTTTTTTCCATATTCATGATCATCTTAGCTTAGATCATGAATTCCAAAAAATTTTGGATTAAAAATCCATCTTCAAGTTAGATTTGAAAGTGGGTCTGCATATGTACAATACGAGTCGGCTAAATCATAGAAACCCCATCCATTACAAAATTTAAAGTTCCAAAATGGTGAAATCAAGCATATCGATAGACACTTAAAAATCTTGAAAATGGACGATCCATATAATGTGTTACAAGATGCACTAGTTTTAAAACTTCAAGCTCCTTTTTTTTTCATATACATGCATCATGAGGTCGAGATGATCAATTGGAGGGTTTTCCAGCATCAGAACAACCTTTTTTGGTAGTTTTTTGAGGTGCATTATATCTACATTATAGGGTGAACAATAACTGTAGGGTGAACAATAACATGGCTATCTGTTTGTATAACATGGGTCTAAAAATATTGGTAAACCCATGTCTTTTAAGATGCGCCTTCCCTCTACAAAAATATTAGTTGCAACAACAAAAAATCCTAATAAAGTAACCAAAAATCACTCCAAACACTAAATTGCCTATAATTCAATTTAGAGATGACGAAACAACTGAAATTGCACCAATAAAACAAACAATCATGGAAATTAAGAAGTAAATGTAAAAAGCACTCACGAACTAGAGAAACAACAACCAAATGCAAAAATCCTGAAAAGGGAAAAAAGAAAAAACAACGTACTGCATCTTCGCCATCTTATCAGGGTCACCAGATTGAAGCTTTCCCAACTCCACATCCATGTTCTCCTCCTCTTCCTCCTCTTCATCTTCTCTGGTTTTTCCGGTGGGCGGGACATTGGCTGGAACCTGCCGCGAAACGCCATCATCATCACTGTTCCCAGCTACCTCGCCGGCCGGAGTTGGAGAATCCGGGGGCGTCTCAGACTCCTCGATGGCTGCCTCAAAGGGGTCCTGGCTCTGCTTCATCGCTGGCCCAAAAGAGAAGTGGAATATCAATCCTCAAAAAACCAGTGACCAAATACAACGCAATAAGGGCTTCGGTATCAACAAGAACCTAATGGAATATTCCCAATTTTTAGAGTCTAATGCTACTCTCTAGGAAACTCCCTGCTGCTGACTTTCTTGGATTCTTGGAGGAAGATGAAAATTGGTAGCCTAAAAGCTAGGAACCCTGTTTGATAAATTGTGGTTTTGATATTTTCACTTGTTTGGTATTGGGAAGTCGGAAACTACCTATCTTAACCGTTCATTGTGCATTTAAGTGATTGGGTTTGCAAAATTCATATGTTGATGAAGATTTTCTAACTGCAACCCATTTAATGCAGTTCTTATAAACTGTATGGTTAAGATTGAAATTTGTTTTTATATCTATGTAACTCGAGAGTGAAAGACACCCAACAACCATTGAAATTGTAATCACACCAATACACTAGAAAAGACAAGTATATATCCATATAAAAAATACCACGAAAGTCTTATGAAATATTAACTCTAAAACATATGGAGCATCAGGCAATCGAGAGTAATACAAAGGGAAAAAGAATGGCTACTAATCCTTGAGAAGGTATTAGAGAACCAACATAAGACCAATCTACACACGAAGGGTATTTGTGTTTCCATCAAGAAATCTCAATCATTTAAAGTCCAATAATAACGAAATGAATCAAACATGAAGTCTAGTTTCTGCCAATAACTAATATAACTTTCAGCCAAGCTCATGAAACCTAACTTTGAGCACAGACTAGATACTATGAACAAGCAAAGGAAAATAATCAACTCAGCTATCACGTTCAGAAATGAGGTAGACAATGACCCTCCAAAATGTTCATCGTTGAGACATTTTCATTATACCTACCTAATGGAGGCGGCAAGCAATGAAATTTACACAGCCTTCAATAGATGACATTGGACATATCCATCTATAAAACCACAGTAGTAGGTGGATTAGTATTGGTTCCCTATAAATCAACACTCTAATCAATCCTATGTTCCACCATTAATACATCAAATCCCTAAACTCAAACCAGAGAGAAACGTTAACACAAACACAATAGGGGAAAAACATATGGGTTTCTTTTAATACCCCATCAAAATACACATGACTGAGAAAAAAGCATGTAAAAAGGAATATGATACACCATATTCAGCTGGTTTCTTGTAATGTCAACTAAGTTCATATTTACGGAAGATAAAGTAGAGCAAGTTCTTGGACAATGTTAATGAAAAAAGAAGAAAATTACCCAAGTTTTCATTAAATTAAAGGGAAAAAATGCAGCATTTTATTCATCAGATAGGGAAAAACGGAGGAATCTGGAAAATACTTAACTTTGCAGTAAAAATACAAAAAACAAAGGCAGAAACTACAGAGAATAGACAAGGATTATAAGTAAGAAACAAAAGAATGAGATGAAGATGTAAAAAGCACCATCAGTTGACATGAATGAATAGGTTAAGAGTTTAGGACCTACTGTATGTGCTCATCCGCCAGAAGTTGCTAGAGAGAGAGACAATTGGGGTGCACTCTAGAGAGAGAGAGAGAGTTAAGACTGGGAAAAAATTGAGTTCGAACTTATCTATTTTTAATGTTTGAAAGCTTAAAACTACAGTAAAGAGAAAGTCGGGTACTCTTCTCAGTTCACGCTGTGATAAAACAACTGCCTAAGGTTTGCGAGCTCGAGTTCCAACGGTGAATTGGGTTCAATTTATAAGAGGGTGAAATTATTAGAAACTACTCAACCTAGTGTTTGAAAACATGGTTTTTTCTCAAAGGACGCGATTAGCATGCGGCCAAGCCTGCACATGTAGAAATGTGGGCTTGGCAATAAATATATATTTTAAATATAATTTGATCTTAATTTTTAGAGAATATATAATCTTTAACATGGAGATCATGAATATGAAAAAATAACTATTGAAAACTAGAAATAATAATTATATTAAATAAACATTTGGACTATTGGTTACAATTTGTTTTTAGATAGACCAACTATTTGTACCCATCTTTAAGATGGATACTTTATACCTCTGGACCGCATATTGTACAAATGCGGTCCAGCCCGCATGAAACAATTGTTCTTTCTGAAATGGGTCATTGATTCGAATGGGGATCAAATGAAAACTTGAGGACTAATGGCCTCAACGAGGATATGGTCCTTAATAGAGAAGAATAGTGGTGGATCAGGATTGATGTAGCCGATCCCAATTAGTTGGGAAAAGGTTTTAATAAAAATGGTGATTTGAATGGGAATTGATCGAGAGTCAAGATTGAACCAACTCAGTTCCCCTCTAAAACCTTTAATATATTTATTTTATTTTTTTAAGGCTATTTTGTGATTCTTAGGTTTCTTCTAAATACCCACCGAATAAATTTTTATTTTTGTTTTTACTTTGTTTTTTATTTTTAATATTTTGAATTAGTGATTTAGACACGATTCAGATTGACAATCCAACGATCGGATACAGAGGTGAGTGAACGATCCGCTTCACCAATATGTGTTTTAAAACACCGGCTCAGAACAATCAAAAGGCACATACCTAATGCAGCACTCTAGGGTATTTACGGTCTTTTTGGAGTAACTAACAGTTGAGATTAACCTCGATGAGGGTCTAATCATCCAGGAAATCTCCATAAAATTGAAGGGGAAAACATCATTTATGCCCACCATAGTTTTTTACTAAAATTGTAAGAT